GTTGAAGAAATATACTACGGCGTGACTCCAACGCTCAAGATAGATATTTGTATTTTGCCATAAAAAAGGCCTTTAAACGTACGTAGTTTAATCATTCTGCACAAGTTCTGGCATCTCCAAATGTTTCTTTCAAGGAGAGTTCATGTCACTTCATGCTAGACCAAATTTACAGACTAGGTTCATAAACTATACTGGTAAGATGTCTAAAGTTCTGGTAAATTTCAGCGTCCTTGCCAAATGCATAGTTCTTCTAGCAGACCCCAGAGTCCCGAATGTCGGTCTTGTCCCATTTCTCAAAACGCAATTGCCATGTTCTGCTTGTCCACCAAATGTTTCGAGAGCTATGAATAGGGTCCACGGAGACACATAGACAAATCCAAGGTCAGCCACTTTTATTTTACGGGTTGTTGACCTCCTCTGACTTTGGGCGTCATCACGCGCACGTACTGAAAAAACGTTGGCTCAAAAACGCGTCTTTGTCTCAGGGACGAAGATAAACAAGCCACAGTACACTTTACAGTACTTAGCTCAATCACAGCCGGATACCGCATTTAAGTCACCTAGCACATATATCTTGTCAGTCACAGAAACATTGATGCGAGTTCAGGTCTCGTCACTCAAATTGATCCGTCTCGCGCATGACGTCACTAGGAGTAAATGCCTAGGGGTTCGACACATGTGAGGTCATTCATAGATGTGATGTAGAGCCGAAAAGAACTCCCTCGCTCTCCCGTTTTCGCTCACTTGACTGACTGGCGCGCGCAAAGCCACAATGCCTAGTTTTTGTTCAGTGGTTGGTTGCAGCTTGTATATGTATATGTTTGTTTGTGTATTGTCATTGCCATTATTATTACTATAATTATTATTGTTTTTGTTGTATGATGTTTTATAATAAATTCGTCAAAAATATTTGGAGTTTAAATATGCCGTGTCCTTTATTTTACGGGTCTATTATGCGATATCTGAGCTGCAACATGAGAATTACAAAACTGAATTCACGTAAAGTATGTGATATAGACCAACAAACAATCGCAGACAATCATCGCCTGTAAAATCTGTCCAATATGCAAATCGTTCAACGTGCCGGCATTTAAAATTATTTATCTGTTCATTTGCTAGTGTTTTATATCATCTCCCTCCCACCCTACCATGCTCTACCCCCCCCTCTCAGCTTACTCCTAATGACGTCATAGGCCTCATCACCCAAAGCTGCGTAAAACTCCCAAGTGACGAGACCTGTACTTATATAGACCTCGGGCGAGCAAACACGTGGTATGTGTCCACGTGGCGAGTAGGCCATACTTCGGCCCACACCATCACTCAACCATCGCCACGCAGCGGTCAGGGATATAAAAGTTAACCTGGGTCTCACACCCTCGACGAGTCTGCCCTCAGCAGGGTGGTTCTCGCTCACCCTCACTTATTCACTCACATTGCCCGCCTGCTGACCGGGCGATCAGTCGTATCGTGTTTATTTTTAAGTGTGTTACTCTAACCAATAAAGAAGACAGCCACATCAGTGTATCCCTTCTGCTCACCAGTATTCATCCATATAGGAGGTTCAGAAGTGTGTGTACATATAGGATTAGATATAAATATATAATATACAGGCATATATATATATATATATATATATATATATATATATATATATATATATATACATATATATACATATATATATATATATATATACATATATATATTATATATATGTGTGTGTGTGTGTGTGTGTGTGTGTGTGTGTGTGTGTGTGTGTGCAAGCATATATATATATATATATATATATATATATATATATATATATATATGTATATATGGAGTATATATACTATATATATATATATATATATATATATATATATATATATCATAGTATATATATATATATATATATATATATATATATATATATATATGTATATATATATATATATATTATATATATATATATGTGTGTGGGTGTGAGTGTGTTTGTGTGTATACATATGTATATATATACATATATATATATAGTTATGTATGCATGTATTTATATACATACAAGTATGTGTGTGTGTAACAGCCTATCATTCCACTACATGCCCTAGGCCTCTCTTCATTTCTGAGAGGTTGATTGGCGGTTCCGCCCTGATCACATGATCTCCCTCATCTATCGCGCAGTATAGCGTATTCCCGCTTGAGCCACGGATGCGACTTATATATATATAATATATATATATATATATATATATATATATATATATATATATATTATATATGTGGGTGTGGGTGTGGGTGTTACACACACACACATTATAGCATACTATATGAGAGACCATACACGTGGCTTTGGCTGGCGTGGGGTTCCTCCCTCATCCGCGCAGAATAACAGACACTATAAATATATACAAATCTTCATTGATAGGATTTGTTGTATCGTAATTGTAGGTTGTCTCTTTTGCCGCAATGTTGCCAGTAGTGATGAATGACAATGATGCACAATACTGAATTACATATATTTCCCTTCTCTGTGAAATGGCAGTTGGTTCAAGTATATCCTCGCGGATTGTCATTGTCATTTTCCTTATCTATTCTCATATCTTTCTGAGATGGTTTGTAGTTAAAGAAGGTCTGTGAGGATCGTTACTCCCATCTCCCTCACTTATTTTCTTCTTGAAAAATACAAAAGTGAAAAAAAAACGAAAATAAATGAAGTAATGTTAAAATGCAGATTGATTTATATAAGAACACCGGCTTGTAACACTTAACATTCTTCCCTCTCTGTTGTCTTTCTTTTCTATTACTATCTTGGCCCTTACGTGTATGATCTGGTTCGACAGTGTATTAGATGGACCATAGATATCCGACACGGCACCAGATATAGTGTCGCAGTACGGTCGCCTTAGAATGCCGTGGATCGCCTGAAGATCGCCGCAGGCCTCAGGACCAGAAGTCGTTAGTGCAGGTATTAAGCCGCCTGGGATGAAGTGAAAGGCTGCCACCTGCCAGGACCCCCGTAGATCCAACGAAGAACCGGGAACTTGTCAGAGCAGGCCCCAGGGTGCTGTGGAAAAGCGCCGCCTGCCTGGACGCCCTTAGATCGGTCAATTTCCAGTTCATCAGCGCAGAAATAAGCCGCCCTCAGATGCCGGAAAGGACGCTCCTGACCAGACGCAGGTTATGAGGACATCTGTACAGGCACGAAGCCGAGAACAACCTGAATGAGATCTGCAAGGACGTGTGGACGAGGAGGACCTAAGCGAGACTTTGGAGGATTTATGGATGTTGAGGACAGATGGATTCACCAAGAACTAAGAAGAAACCGACAAGGAGGAGCAACACGAGGACGAACAAGAACGCGAGGATAAGATGACTAGCAGATCAGGTTTAATGGTGGGTCAACCTTGAAGCAGAGCAAATGACACCTCGAGGAAGAGGCGTGAGTAGGTGGCCGAGCGATATAGCATACTATATGAGAGACCACACACCATTCCGTACACCAGACCATTCCTTGTAGGGCGGTTCTAAATATACGCCCTGCAACGTATACACCACCGACGCGGCCGGAGTCAGATATGAGGCTGACCCGGGTTGACCTCTCACTCACTTCCCTCCGAGACAGACAGCCTGACCCTCGCGTACTGCGAGGACCTCCGCTACCCCCCCCCCCGAGGCTGTGGCCTCGCAGGGCTGGCTGATGGCGGGGTTCCACTCAGCACTGACCTGTCGCATAGTGTTCTATCTATTCTTGTGTGTTAACTCTTAGGAAATAGAGTAAAGCCATACAGTGTATCACTTCTGCCCACCAGTATCCAGTATAGGAGGTTCACAACCTTTACATACAACACCACACACACACACACACACACACACACACACACACACACACACACACATATATATATATATATATATATATATATATATATATGTATGTATGCATGTATGTATACATATATATATATATATGTATTATATATAGATATATATATATATATATATATATATATATATATATATATATATATATATATATATATATATATATATATATATATAGACCATCCAAATAGACCGCTCGCCTTCGGGCGCTCCTCTCTGGGCGTCCCTGCCTTGCCCTCTGCACCACCTACACAACTCTCGCAGAAATAAAGTTTAAATCTGCGACGTTTAATTCCAGCCACCTCAAAGGAACACCAGTTTATTAGTGCCTTACTATTGCCTTACCGCTCCAGTCACCTACCAAGAAGTGGGGGAAATCGCCTCCCACATCGTTACAGTGTGTGAGCGCACACACACACACACACACACACACACACACACACACACACACACACACACACACACACACACACACACACACACACACACATATACATATATTTGTGTGTTTGTGTGTGTACACACACACATACACATATATATGTATATATAGTTATGTGTTTGTGTCTGTGTGTGTATAAACACACACACACACACATACACACACACACACACACACACACAGAGAGAGAGAGAGAGAGAGAGAGAGAGTGCATAGGCGATGAAAACAGTTTTTCGATAGATGAGGATGATGAAAATATCAAGTTTAGATGTACTGCTTCAACCAAACATGGCCAAAGTTTTTTTTGTCCAGTTTTACATAAAATCGATGTAAATCTAATGCTAGAAACCGGTCTGTACCGGATTTCGCGATGAGTAGTTTTTGCTTGTAATTTTTTAATATTCAATCCCAATATTTATCGTGTTAAACTCGCTGCATGTCGTCCTGTGAATACCATTCTTGACATGGCATGTATCTGACCACCATTCTGTAATGGGAGTAAATTAACCTGCCGCCAACGTCAATTAAGAGTACTTTACTGACATGTCCAATTGGTGTTTCTTATGGCATTCTATCTCTTATAGAAAAGCATGAAAAAGATCCATATTCCATAAAATGCTGCTATCGATGCTCATTTGTCTGTTCCTTCCATAGCAACCCGAATCCCAAGTATTTGGTACGTTCCTCTATACTCGACTGGGCTCGCACTAGAGTAAGCAGAAGAGCAGCGGCTATTGACGGGAAATCAGCAGGAATTGCAGGTGGAATCACGTGTCAGCAAGTTCTAGTAGTTTGCTTTGAAAGTCTGATGAGTATTCTTATTTGTGGGTTGTGGCCGCCTTTGACAGCAGAAACTGTTGCTTTTATAAGACCGTTTTCCTTAGATCAGGTCGTGAACGCAGGTAGAGAGCTGCTGTATGCTTGATAAGAACTGAATAGCAAGTAAGAAAAACAATGTTCTTATTTGTTCATTCCATATAATGTCTCGCTTTTATATGTGGGCAATTCTTTGGGATACATCCGCCTAACGGATCCGGACGATTTCGGTATCGTTGGATTCCTCTCGCTGTTTAGTTTACAAGTATGTATAGAAATTATTGCGTGGAGAACCCCCAAATCCCCACACTTTCTTGGCCCTGATAGCAGGGGAGGATATGAGAGGTATCAGGAAAATTGCGAGGTATAATGTAAATGATTTACACACTCTCACTATATTGTTTAATGCTGGAGGCTGCTGCCCCCAACCCCTGTCCAGAGAAACAAAGAATCTCCACGTATTCATGGTAGGAGAGAGCGTCGGACAGACTTGGCAACACCGTTCCCACATGGTGGTCGTATGATTGCGTGAATATGCGGTGAATTCTTTTTCCCGGGCGGGGCTTGGGGGCAGCAGCCCCCTGCATTAGACAACATAATGACTGACTCTGTGCATATCATTTACATTTTACCCTGCAGTTCCCCTGGTGTCTTTCGTGCCCTCCACTGCTATCAGGGCCAAGAATGTGGGGATTGTTGGGGTTCCATGCAATGAATCCTACATATTTGCATTGTAGATGGTTAGAGGAATCTTACTATAATGAAATCATCACGATCTGTTAGGCGGACGTATTCAGTTCAAACTTTTTATGATATTAGCTGTTATTTATCCATATTCACATGAAAATTTGTATTAACTCTTATAAAAAGGAATGTATAGAAAACAATAACAGAACTACAAACAAAGCTGGGCTCATTGATTAGGAATGTTGCACCACAAAAGTTAATGCCATATTCAGGTTAAATTCAGATATATAGTGCACATGTGCACATTCTGACACATTCTAGCAAATTGAAGAACAAATTTTCTTAGTATATTGATTTTTTGATAGATTTCAGCCCTTTTGCCTTGGAAAGATATAGATACACATTCACCACTAAGTGAATGTGTACACTTACCACCACACACTATTAAGTGAATACTATTAGCATCATTTTGGCTAATATATTTTGTGTAGCACTGTTGCCCTTTTTATAGAATGTTTTGTTAAAAATTGTTTTTATACATGAATATAACATAGATATATTTTAGGAACGAGGACTGCACTTCAAAGAACAGTTTTCTTCAATTGACCCAAAATAATTGTTTGGTATGAAATGTCAATAGGATATGCCTCACAAACTCTAGCTATTTAAGATAACAGAAATAATTCATAGATGTATTATGACTGTATACTCTGTTTTTCAACACTACTACTATTTTCAGCAACGTATGATTTTCAAGTGTTATCTGTTAGGTATTGGAAATACAAGTAAACTTTTTTTTTTTTTTTTTTATGTTGATTTTACAATTACAATGGATCATATTTACAGAGTAGGATTAACCATGGATACCAGTCGTGGCAGTAAAGAGATGGTTCTTCTAGCAGGGAATTCTCACCCAGAGCTGGCACAGCTGATAGCTAGGTGAGACTTTTGAATTTTATTTTAAATATATAAATATATATATATATATATATATTTTTCCTTTTTCCTTTTTTTTATTTATTTATTTTTTTTTACAGATTTTTGGAAGATAAGTTCACAGTATTTGATACCCTTAAATTTTAATATGTATGTTCATGTAATTTCTGATATATGTTTTGAATCTGATGATATTTAATTCAGAAGATACTTTCCTTTTCAACTAATCACAATAGGCTAGTCTAACTTCTTTACCTGATGACCCACTTATGCACAGAATTGATGTTCAGAGGGCCATAGCCTTCTTCTGTTTCCTCATTTTTATCAAATTCATACAGTTAAATGAAAAACAATACTTTATGATATTTTGGTAAGCAAAAATTCTAGGCAGGTCAGCACATAAAGAAACAAAAAAATTAACCTATCATGTGCAGTGTCAAGACTTTGTCTCCCATTTTCAATATTTTTATATATTTTTTTCTCTCTCTCTCTTTTCTTTTCTTTTTGCATTCTTTGCGCATTTTTTGCTATTTTCCAAAATCTATATTTATCATTTAATATGCAGTTTAAATTTAGTCATAGACTCATTTCCTGCAGATTAAATCATCTCTAGATAGTCTACAACTCTGTGTAGTAAGAATAACAATAAGTGGCAATTTGTTATTTGTGTCACTTTTCAATATATACATGTTCAATTTTTTATAATTCACCATGTGTCGCTGGTCATGGCAGGCAGGAATTGGATCCTGCACTTGGAACTAATGTTCTCTCTTGTGCTGGTGGTCTTTCAACCATGGTTTATGCATGGTACATTCCACACTAGTATATTGACGGGAATAATGCAAGAACCCCTTTCTAAATGCCCACTAAATTATTTTTCACTTCAAGACCTTTGTGTGCTCCTGGATAGTCATTCCCATCACCTGGCCTTCAGACAAATTTTTTGTGAGAGCTCAGTCTTGTTACGCTAGCCTCAACCAGTCTTCAGCCAATTTTTTTCATGTTGTGATGGTCATGTAACGTAGATCCGATGGGTTAATTGTTAGAAAAGAAACCTTGAACAATGCTTGTAAACCAGTATTGTTTCACATGTATAACCTTAGAGTTTCATATTTTTTATGCTTTATTTCTTTGTATTTTCTTCATTCATTTCTTTTATAGAATAAATCAGAAATCATAACCACAAAAAATATATAATTTAGGCCACAGGCAGTCTGTGGGCCCGTAGATGATTACAAGAACTGGTGTCATAAAGTAAACTCATTACATTTTTTCAGTAGCCCAATGTGTTTCTCAATTTTTCTGTATTTTATTTATTTATTTCTTAATGCTCTTAACACAAAATATGAATTATACAAATCATAAATTTATGCAAATATGAAAGACTGGCTTTGTGCCAGTCATGAACGGTCTCCAGGAGCCATGGACATGGTATTCCCTTGGTTAATCACCTAGCCTTTATCCCTTTTGGAGACCATGAAGGGTAGACCATTTCTTTTTCCCACTTATTTCAGGCTCACCATGGCAAATAATGAAGATGATTTAGCCTTATTAGGGGCATTAATGCTTACCCCTTCATCAAATAGCCTATTTAAATTTGAATTCATTTCTTTTTGACCCCTGCCTCTTCTTTGACCAAGGCTCTGACCACTGATACAAATACCCTCTCCAATATCCATTCCAAACCACTCACCCAGGTCATTACTCAACCTTCAGAAAGCACCCCTTCCTCTCTCCCAACATTCTCCACTTCATCTCCTACTGCACTATCTTCTTCATTATCTACCCCCTCCCGTCTCATTAGTACTCTTAATCCTTATTGTCTTCCTCCCCACAATACTACTTAACCCCACACCACCCCATCCTTCTCCCACCCACATTCTTCTACTGCCTCCATGTCTGCAACCTTTTTGAGTACTCTCTTTGGCCCAGCCAAGTGGGATAGATTCTTTATGATTCGCCCTACAACCACTTATTCTGAAAATACCATTCTCTTCCAACAATGTCTCCTAAAACAAGTAGGCAACATTAAATTTTGCAGTTATTGTGATCAATTATGCCCTATGAGAGTTACATTTGAGCTTGTGCACTATCTACCCTGACTGAACTCACTGGCAAACCTATTAGTGTTGAACCTCACTTCTCTTTTAACCCATTTGTTCCGGGTGTCACATATATGAGACACCGGAAAAAATAAACATTGCCGGGGCCACCAGTGATGCTGTATCGGGGCTGCGCTCCGACGCAGCAGCGGCGCGCGGCCGGGCAGGCGGACAGACTCTGGGGAAGCTCCGCCCGCCAATTTTTGTAGCCGGCCGGATTTTTTTAATTTGGCTACAAAATGTACCCGGCGTGAATGGGTTAATACTTGTATTGGAACTGTTTCTGTCTCCCTGACTGATTTTCCTATATATGAAGAAAACTTTTATGTACCCAACCTGGTCATGACCATTCAAATTACCCTGTTCAGTCATGTACATTTGCCAATTGTCTTGGCTCCCTTAATGTAGTTTATAGTAGCTGCCCTACCTATAAGCTTGAATGTGAGGTAGCAGTTCTCGGATTCAAACTAAACCTCATTTTACATGAGGCCAGACAGGAAGTATAGCAGTGAGGTTCTTCTCTCTCTTCCTACTCCAAGAGTCCTTTGCTCTGCTCCCCCTTCCCCATCTTCTCAAGATGTCTCTACATCTTTTCCCTCTACCCTGAGCTATCCTACCTCTACTCCCCCTCTCCCCCAGTCAAATTCCCTTTCCAGTCTAAATCCAGATACTCCAATCTCTGACATTTCTCTGATGCCTAACCCTCCTCTTTCTCACAACCTAAATGTTCCATTCCATCTTTGCCTACCACATCCTCTTCTACACCCTCCTTTTCCTCTGCTCCCCAAACATCTATCCCCCTTTGTCCTCACAAGTGAACTGTTGTTTCTCAGATCTATTCACCCAACTTCCCTCCAGAAATTCTTGAAGACATTCAAAAATTCCTTGACATGACCCAAGAGAATGTTCTGTTTCATCCACCCTTCACTTTCTCAATTCCTATTCCCTCACCAATCAGAGTATTTACTGATATCCATCCTCCTCCCCGTCAGATTCTCCCTACTCCTCCTCCTACCACTCTTTCCCAGTACACCCTATCCTCTCCTTCCCGATCTGCACTATTCCCTCTTCATTCCCCATTATCTTTACCTCTCCCACCTGGATACTCACGTGAATCCCTTCTGTTGCAATAGTGTCATTCTCCGGATCCCATCCCCATTGACACTCTTGCTGATACTTCACTACCTTCCCCAGTCCCTTCATCTCATCCCCCAGATTCTTCTCCTACTATGTCTCCAACAGCCACCTCGACTCATATTACCTAATAATTATTTCATAATAGCTCTTTGCCAATTTTCCTTAAACAAGGTGCTATAGCTTCTCCAGTCACATATACACTCCATTCCATCTATTTGCCCTATGGTTTTCACCCTTTCCTTTGCTAATCTCATATTTAGTTCATTTACACCTCCTCTTTACCCTTTTCCCTCTTATACTATCCTTAAACCCTATAACCCATGAAACATATCACATTTTATCATAGTTGTTAACTCATTTTTACACTTTTTGCCACATTGCTTTACCATAGTGCTATATGACCTTTGATGTCTAGCGCTGTTATTTGTGTCAACCATTAACCATTTTACTGCCCATGTTGAAGGTCAGGTTTTGAGCCAGATGGTCAATTGAAATAACATTTTTTTTAACCAAGAGCAACTGCAGTTGCTATTTCAGATACAGATAATCCTCATTTCATGGTATCCCTGTTTGCAGTATTTCACTTTAACGTTTTTTTTTTTTTTTTTATTGATTTTTTTCATATCTCACCTGTTTGTGTGTGGCATCAATGACTTAAAATATCTTGATCACTTCTCAGAATTTCAAATGTGTTTCTTGTCTCCCCCCCCACCCTCCCACTTACTTTGTCACACATAGTGCATATTTTAGGGGCCCTTTCCTACCATTGATTTGACAGTTTTGCTTCTTTTTTAGAGATATGAACCTCACTGATGAATGTAAGAAGAAACAAAAGAGCAAGAGTATCTCACTTGCTTTGAAACAATCAAAGTGAAAGAGGAAATAAAGAAGTCAGTTAGCCTAGATCCTCCAACAGCTACACTATATTCTTAGCAATGTTTTAAAAAAATGCTTGCAATATGAATTGAATATTAGAACCATTGCAATGTTCTAATACACCTGATGACAATACAGTGCAAGGTGAAAGTGATTTACAGAGAAGGAAATCAAAAAGAAAACTAAATGTAAAGCAGCTTGCAGAGCTTTTTCACAATATAGATTCATTACTTGACATCAATGATGATGCTAACCTGAACAGGCACTATGGCAGAGAATGTTTTTCTGTTATAAAGAACCAAACAGGGAGAAGGAGAGAAGCATCAAATAAGGTGCAAACGATCAAAGATTTATATTATTACCTAAATAGAGCTTGAAGAGATCTTTTCCTTGGCCCTCACTAGCTCAATGTCTCCATGAATGGCCACCCAGCCACTGTCACTTACCAAGCTTTTCTCTAAGTGGGCTTGTTATATCTGTTTTGTATTATTGTGTGTAACAATTGACACAACTACTATGTAAAGGGATTTTATTTTACCATATTATTTTTGAGAATTATGAAGTCAGGGCAGGAGGTTGGGGAATCCGCTAATCTTTTTTAGTTATTTCTTTTGGGAATGATTGTCTTGTTTTATTTTCTCTCATTTTCCAGTACAGACTCAGGAATAGAACTCAACAATAAACAAAGAACTGCCCCCCCCTCTCCTTCCCCCCTTCTCTCTCTCTCTCTCTCTCTCTCTCTCTCTCTCTCTCTCTCTCTCTCTCTCTCTCTCTCTCTCTCTCTCTCTCTCTCTCTCTGTGTGTGTGTGTGTGTGGTGTGTGTGTGTGTGTGTGTGTGTGTGTGTGTGTGTGTGTGTGTGTGTGTGTGTGTGTGTGTGTGTGTGTGCG